CCCGCCCCGCGCTTTATAGCTCAGGTAGAGTCAGCTCAGCACAGACCAGGGAGAAGGTTTGCCCATTTGGTCTGATAAGAACCTGGGTTATATCCCAGCAGTCTCTGTGCCCCCAGTGAGATGCTGATAGTTAGTGTGGGGGTCTGAGCTCGCAGTGTGACCCCTGCCTGGAGAGCCTCCTCTTCCTGTCTTTGTGTTCCTGTTTTCAGACAGGAGGGGGGGCTGGCTGTGAGCTGCTGTGCTGGCAGAATGCAGAGGGGCCCTACAGAGAACATGTTTAGCACAGCAATAAGAGGGGCCGGATCCGGCTGCTGTAACCCCCTGTGAACTCTATGCCATGTTCCCTCGCCCTCTCTGCCAGCTGCCGGAAGGGTTCCACATGGCAGCCGACGGGCCCCCAGCTTGGGGGAACACTGTGGCACTGAGACGGATTGCCTCCCACCCTCTGTCTCGTACTAGGGGCCACAGCAACCTCCTCCCCACAATGCTGATGTTTGGGGTCATCGTGGCATCCAGCGGTTTGCTTCTTATGATAGAGAAAGGCATCCTGGAAGAGGTGAAGACACCCCCACCCGTGGGTGACCAGGCATGGCGGTCACACAGGCGACACAGTGCTGAGAGCTTTGATGAAGGAGACGTGGACCACCAGATTCTCCAGGACATCAGGAACCGGACCCTGAACAGCATCTGTGGCCAAAAGGACATGCCACGTAGCGTGTGGCAGCTGCCCACTGCCCAGAGAAGGACTGTCCTCAAACACATCCTGGTCAATGAGAAGTACAAGTTCCTGTATTGCTACGTGCCCAAGGTAGCTTGTTCCAACTGGAAAAGGGTTCTCAAGGTTCTGGACGGCTCCCTGGAAAATGTGGACGTCAAGATGAAGATGGACCACAAGAACGACTTGCTGTTTCTCTCCGATTTTAGTGTGGACGAGATCAAACATCGCCTGAAACACTATTTCAAGTTTATGTTTGTTAGGGACCCCATGGAGCGGCTCCTCTCTGCATACAGGAATAAATTTGGGGAGATTAAAGAATACCAGCAGAAGTATGGGGTGGAGATCATCCGAAGGTACAGGAAGCACAGTACGAGCGCCACGGCTGGGGATGATGTGACTTTTTCGGAGTTTGTGCGCTATTTGCTGGATGAGGACGTGGAGCGCATGAACGAGCACTGGATGCCCATCTACAACCTGTGCCAACCCTGCGCCGTGCGCTATGACTTCCTCGGCTCCTACGAGAGACTTAAGGCGGATTCCCATTACGTCCTGGAGAGGATAAACGCCCCAAAGTACATACAGTTTCCCGAGAGACAAGCATGGTATAAGCCAGTCACAAAGGATACACTGAATTATTTTATCTGCAATACTCCCAGAGGTTTACTCAAAGATCTTTTACCAAAGTATATATTAGATTTCTCGCTCTTTGCGTATCCCTTGCCGAATATCACCACGGAGCACTGCAGGCAGTAATGACAGATTGCTCTATACAATTCCCTTATAAGATGCTGCATTAAACCAGCCAAATCCTTCATGTTGTACTGGACGCACCACAACAACAACGTGCGGATAAACAGAGCATGAAAAGTGCTGAACGGCAGTAAGAACACTTTATCAGAAACCAGGTCAGGAGCGTTCTACAGGAAGGGATTCTTTCTGTGTTCTAACACTCGGCACTTTCCAAGCTCTGGCCCATCAGTGTGTCTTGTGTAACATGACGGGTCTGACAACTCTGTGTATTCATGCACAAACACTGTGTACATAAATACAGAATGAATACAGAAATATGCACATTTACACACACACACACACTGCAGAGGGCACTTTATACAACAGACCTCACATCTGTAAAGACAGCAGCCAGCTGTGCGCACACAGACATGCACACACAGACACACACACGCTCATTACAAAGACCCCATGTGGTGTATTCACTAAATCTGAAAATGTCAAGGACGGTCATGAAAATAGGTCAAAAAGTAGAGTTGGAAAACAGCCGAGCTATTGATCTAAAACATCCAATTTTCTTGTCCTTTTTGCTCAGTATCCGGTTTAGTAACATGTCTAGTAGAGCCATTCATTAAAGGGTGGATTGAAGGGAATTCAAAGTGAATTCAAATTTTAAGCCGAAATAGGCAAATAGTTCATACTGAACGTGCAGCGGACTTGGCAGTATTGCCCTGCGTACTATCCCAAATCCCGATACACATTTAAATAACGGAAGGTTTAGTAACATTTTCTACTTAAATATTCTACCAAATATTTTACAAAACCGCCAAAGATCCAGTATTGTTTTATGTGATTTTTTATCCTGCAGACCTTTCAGTGTTAAATATGACCATAGACTAGAAGTGACAAATTACTTAACCAACAGATACTCCTAGCAGGTCAGGACATGACTGTTTAACTATTTCCATTCCTCTTTGACGAGTCAGGAGATCGAAGGAGATTTAAAACCAAGAATTCAGCGTTTTAGTCATGAGCGTTTGTACGAAATATTCTATTTTCTACCATTGGAATTAGTTTTTTTTTGTAATGGAGATATTAAAGTACTTTTTGATAAATGAATTGGATGTATCACTTATTTCAACACGTTCTGGATGATCGGATGTAAGTACATTTTATATTTCTCTTTCAGCAAATGATTAAATTCTCCCCAGTGTCGCTCAGTGCCGAGGCGAAGTCCTTTCATAAAGATTTATGGGGATTTGTCAACCAGCTTCCAAAACTTGGCAAAAACAGCTGAATTGGGAAACTCCCAACCGTGGATTCAGCGATAACTGCCCAGTAATCAGATTCACAGTTTGATTGGAGCGTAAAATACATTATATAACGGTTATGTCATAAATCCACCGCTGCTTTTACTTTAGAAACAGGATGTGAATAATGAGAGAATGTCCTGTATTTCTCCATTCTATGGCACTTTATAAATTCATTTCCTGCGCAGTAACCCGTACGATAGCTTGCGGTAGCTCCCGGCATCGCTGCACATGGTAATATGGAGGAGGGAAAGAATATATTTTTGGGATATCTGACCAGCTCCAAGCATGCTCTGAGTGTCCCTTTAAATTACGGGGGACATTTTCTATTCGGCGTCACCAGTGGTATGGGGTGTCTAGGCTATAAGGGGCTATATGCGGGATGCACTGCAGATTATATTAAAAACAACAATAAATAAGGATTGGTATTACCCAATAAAATATGGTGCTACTATCACCTATGTGGGTCACTCCACCACACAAAAGTGCAATACACACAAACTATATAAATTGATAAGAGCACACTGAATAACACAAATATTATCACATATCAAGTAAGAAATAATCCTGTAACCGAAAGAGACAGGAAAACCATCGGGTGATAAAGTGAAGTGAAACATGGTATATAATCAGTCTCACTCACATGCTGCTGAGCCACTTAGATAAACTGGCTCAGACTAAGGGCTTTGAATGGATAAGTAAAGGTGGTCTCAGGATTAATAATAGCAGCTTCCTTGTTGTTCTTTGGTCATATTCTCACTGTATCCAATTTAAAACAAAACAATTCGCTCCAGACTATAAAATGTCAGATTTCTCCTTGAAACAAAAGCTGCTACCCCACATATTAACTACAAACTCCATTTATTAATATAGGCATTAGTCAAACTTTGATGTTCTACGAAATATAAATGGCAATAAATATATATGGACCTTTAACGTCCAGCTAATTACATTAAAGGAATATGCCTTGCACCATAACCACTACATTGTGTGCCAGAAGTGTCCTGTCACACCCACAATGCACAAATTCAATTTGACTTCTTTTGCGAGTGGATCGCGCATGCTCACACTCAGTGCCGCCACCAGAAATTTTGGGGCCCCTAACTCAGCTCAGGGTCTGGGGCCCGCCTCCAAATACCGCTCACTGGGTCCGCCTCCAAATACCGCCCACAGGAATACACACACAAACACACACACTGATACAAAAGGACACAGATACATACTAACAGACACACATACTGAAACAGACATACACGCATACAGGCATGCATACTGACACACACATAGGCATACATAGTAACAGACAGACACATACTAACATACATACAGACACATGCATGAGGACATAAAGACACATACATACATACATACACACATACATTCATACATACAGACATACTGACAGACATACAGACACTGACATCCATACACACATACATTCATAATGGCATACAGAAATACACAGACATACATTCATAATGGCATACAGACATACATACATACATTCAGACTGACATACATGCATATATACAGACATACATGCATACAGACATCCATACACACATACACAGACATACGTTCATAATGACATACATGCATGCATACAGACATACATGCATACAGACACAGTCTCTTACCTTTTCTTTGCAGGAGGGTGGCTGGGTCTGATGGGTGTTGGATGGCTCTCCCTCTTCACTGCCTGGCTCTCCCTCTTCATTGGCGCGCGCGCGCTCCTCCCGCGCAGCACTTCCTCCCAGCAGCACTTGTGGCTGCTTTTTAAACATTTTTTTAAAAGGGGCCCGGTTGCGCTATACCACGCCCACAGCGCTGACCGGGCCCCTGAAGATATAGGGCCCTAAGGGATTCATATATGTAGAAAAATATATGCGTTCCTAGAATGAAGAAGGTGGGTAGGTGCCAGATAGGGATCTAAAAGCATCTCTGGAAAAAATTTCTATGCCAGTCCAATGTGTCGCACCAACATAGTGTACAGACATAGAGGCAGAAAAGATCATTCGAAATGGAAAACTAAAAACTATTACTTTAACGTGAAAAATGGGGCCTCAAAAATAAAAATAAAAAGAGCAAATGTATTTTAAGGAGACGTATATTCGATCTAATCAATGTTTCAGTCCGACTACATCGACGTATTAAGGAACGTTTGGTAATGGGACTGAAATGGTGAATGTATAAAACAACGTTCTATTGTTTAATTTGAAGTCCTGTGACCCGAACAACACGACTGGTCCAGTACGTTCTCATTAATTATATGTTATGTATTAACATTAAAATGTCTGTGTATTATACATGTATATTAATAATGTGTACATATTATATTACTAATACATACATTGAGATATATTTATATTAATGTCAGAATCACACCTATCTGTACACTGTGTCAGCAAAATGTGTCTATTGGAAGAAAAAACGAGGTCTGTCTCTCACCTGTAAATCATCTCTTCAGCATAGACTCCTGTGCTGCATTACTGAGTTACAGGGAGAGCAGGTGACTCAGGCAAAGAGAGAGAAGAGAAACACACGCACACACACACGCACCTCTTAGCTCCTTTTGCATTATTTGCCGTTTTTGTGTCTTCTATACCCAGTGTGTGTCTTACACCCCCCTTGGGGTTCTTTTACTTCCTCCCAGACCTTTTGTGTGTCTCTTTTTCCCTTCACCAGCTCCTCTGTATCTCTCTTTCTCCTCCCCCAGACCCTCTGTATCTCTCTTTCGCCCCCCCAGACCCTCATTCCCCCAGACCTCTGTATCTTTCTCCCCAGACCCTCTGTATCTTTTCCCCCAGCATCCCCCCCACCCTCTTCTCTTTCCCCCAGACCCCTCTGTATCTCTTTCTCCCCCCAGACCCTCTGTATCTCTCTCTGTATCCCCCACCTCTTTCTCCCCCAGACCCTCTGTATCTCTTTCTCCCCCCAGACCCTCTGTATCTCTCTTTCTCCCCCCCAGACCCTCTGTATGTCTCTTTCTCCCCCCAGACTCTCTGTGTGTCTGCTAACCTTCATGTAACATGGCAGAGTGGACCTCAGTGGAGGATCTTCAGGGCTGACAGGAAGTCAGTCCAGTCCACTCGGCCAAGCTACATGTGACTGGCAGCAGAATAGCACATTGCTGCTCTCCTTCAGTCCTCCTGGATTGGCCTGGCTGACAAGTGCACTGCTGTCATTACCACTGAGTGTGCTGCCAGACCAGCCCAGCGGCACTCCCATCCACCAACCTTGAACTAGATGCGGCTGTCGGCCAGTCCACTCCATTTCTCAGTCTGTCTCGGTTTTCCAGATAGTAATTTAGGCTCCAGATTGACACCAAGAGCACTGTATGCTGGCCCGCTTTTGCCTGCTCTGTCTCCTGTACCTAGATATGCCCGCTCTGGGTGTACCCATATTCAATAAGACTGGCTATGCCATAGAGCTCATGTTAACCGTTGGAAGGCTACAAGTGGTGGGACCTGGACTGTATGGAGTCCAAGGATTACCGCCTGTGGGCCATCTCGTGTATTCCAACTACAGGGTCAATATTCACTTGAAATTTAATTTATTATAATGGAGAAATTAAATTATGATGAATAGTTAAACTCTCCACAGGAAATGTTCTATGATAGAAGGTTACTAAAAGATTCGATTTCTGATCACCATCCATCCATCATCGGCTGCCTTGGATAACACGTCATTGGCTGCTTATAATGTGGGTTCCTTGGATAACACGTCATTGGCTGCTTATAATGTGGGTTCCTTGGATAACACGTCATGTGGGTTCCTTGGATAACATGTCATTGGCTGCTTATAATGTGGGTTCCTTGGATAACACGTCATTGGCCGCTTATAATGTGGGTTCCTTGGATAACACGTCATTGGCTGCTTATAATGTGGGTTCCTTGGATAACACGTCATTGGCTGCTTATAATGTGGGTTCCTTGGATAACACGTCATTGGCCGCTTATAATGTGGGTTCCTTGGATAACACGTCATTGGCTGCTTATAATGTGGGTTCCTTGGATAACACGTCATTGGCTGCTTATAATGTGGGTTCCTTGGATAACACGTCATTGGCTGTTTATAATGTGGGTTCCTTGGATAACACGTCATTGGCTGCTTATAATATTGGTTCCTTAGATAACACGTCATTGGCTGCTTATAATATTGGTTCCTTGGATAACACGTCATCGGCTGCTTATAATGTGGGTTCCTTGGATAACACGTCATTGGCTGCTTATAATGTGGGTTCCTTGGATAACACGAGGGAGCATGGTAGTTAGCTCCGCCCCCTCCCACAGTCCTCCTGTAAAAGCAGGCACACAGAAGGGGAAGGGGGGGACAAAGAGACAGAGGGGTAATAGAGAGACAGGGGATGGGGGGGACAAAGAGACACCAGGGGTAATAGAGAGACACCAGGGAAGGGGGGACAAAGAGAGCACCAGGGGTAATAGGAGAGACACCAGGAAGGGGGGACAAAGAGACAGAGTGGGTAGTAGAGAGACAAAGGGTTGGGGGTCAAAGAGATGGGCATAGAGAGACACAGGAGAAGTGGGGGGACATGACAGATGGGGTAATAGAGAGACATCAGGGAAGGGGGACAAAGAGAGGGTAATATAGAGACACTAGGGGAAGGGGAACAAAGAGTCAGGGGTAATAGAGAGACATAGGGGTTGAGGGGACAAAGTGATGGGTAATAGAGAGACACCAGGGAAGGGGGGACAAAGAGACAGAGGGGTAAGAAAGAGACAGAGGGGTAAGAAAGAGACAGAGGGGTAAGAAAGAGACACAGGGAGGAGAAGGGGAAGAGAGACACAGGGAGGAGAAGGGGAAGAGAAGCACAGGGAGGAGAGGGGAGAAAGAGAGACACACACAAGGTTTGTTGGGGGACGAAGAGACATACAGTAGGGAAGGGGAACAAAGTGACAAGATTTGTGGGAGGCAACACTGGGCTGGGGAAAAAGAGACAGAGTAGCTGGGAGAAGAGAAAGAGGCACACAGAGTCTGGAGTTAGAGACACACAGATGAGATTTGGAAGGGGAGAAAGAGACAAAGTGGCTGGGGCTAAGAACAACACAAAAGGGGCTGGGGGAAAGAGAAATACAGAGGCTGGAGAAGGGTAAAGAGAAACACACAGGGACTGGGATGAAGTAAAAGATGCACAAGGGTCGCTGTAAGAGAAAAAAAGGAGACAATTAGAGACAAGATACACTAAACGAGGTAAAGGTAATAGATGTAAATTGATGTGATCCTGACAGTAATACACACACATACAGGGAGTGCAGAATTATTAGGCAAATGAGTATTTTGACCACATCCAGGGCCGGGCTGGGGATACAAAGCAGCCCTGGAAAAAAAATTTGTGCCAGCCCCATAAGTCACTGCGCCATATATTGTCGCGTGTAATATGTAAGGCTATGTCTTGCCAGGACAGATGATTGAGTAATATATATATTGCTTTTTCTAATATAAAATATTGGTCCTTTCAGGGTAAAATGTTTAATTATACAGTAAGCATACGCACATGCAGACACAGGCAATTTCACTGACATTTCAGTGACACACACAAGCTCATTGATATACAGCCTCATAGACAAACAATCTTACTGATATACATCAGCTCATTGACATAAAAACACAAGCTCACTCACTAGCAGCATGCAAGCAAGCTCACTCACTAGCAGACGCACACACAGCTTAATGTGGTAGTACTGGTGTCTATAGCATGTCCCTACAGGCTTTTTAACGTAAACACTGACTTTTCAGACAAAAGGCAGAGTTTACATTGCTTCAAAGTGACACTGCTAGTGACAGTCACTCAGACGGTCACTAGAGGTGCTTCCTGTGTTAGTGCCCTCCCGCCCTCGCGCGCTGCTGAATGAGACTGGCGCCGGAATATGACGTCATATTCCGGCGCCGGTCTCATTCAGCTGCGTGCTGGGGAGCAGAGCCAGCGCAGCTCGCGCAGCTCCCTCAGCGGCCACTAGGACAAGTCTGCCAGCGGCCGCC